CTGGATCATTTTTAAAAACTGACCCACACCTAACAACTCTCTCCCCAATGACCTTCCTACAGAGAGACAGGCATTTCTCTGACTTTAGTCTCTGTGTTCCAGCTCTTTTCCACCTGAAGGAAAATCCAACGGTGCTGAGGATCAGAACCTGAGAAATTTTAGACAGGCTCATGCCCACGTGTTTCTCCTCACAGTTTTAGCGGATCTCACCACGGCATACAACAGACGTGGCCGATTAAAGCCAAAGGCATGCGTTTGTCTCACACTACAAAAATTCCCCCATGGTGATAATAATTTCCTAACACTAAATAACTCACTTTAGGGAAACACTTTGCCCTTAGCCCCACTTTTTTACACATAGAATTTCATTCACTGTGCAGGAGTTAAGATTAAGAATGGTCTTTTCCATCCAGGTCTGTCTTTGAGCCCTCAGCCCCTTGCCTTTCTTTCTCCACGCCATCCACGACATGTACTCTCTATACACCCCCCCACCAGGACGCCTGCCCCCTACTCCGAAACGGCCAGCACCAAGTTCCTTTCAACTAACAGAGCTCCCTGCTGCTCTGTCCCTGAGAAAGTAGGCCGGATGGGAACCAGCAGTTAGCCTAATGGCTATGTTGCTGGACTCCCACGTAGTCGACCGCAGTTCGCGTCCCAGACCCAGTGGCTTAAAACTCACGCTGGGCGTGTGTGCGTGTGTGCCCAAGATCCCGAGAGGAGAATGGAGGAGAAGGGATTGCGGCGTGGCCATCCCCCCTGGGGGGTGATTTCTCGCTTTCTGTCTCTATGTCTCTCTCTGTCTGGCGAGCGCATGCGCCCTATGGATTCATAATGGTTGATGAATAGTCTCTGTATCTGCCCCCTAACCCATCCCTGTCCCCCCTATTGAGGCTGACCCAGTTCCTCCCTTGGGAAGAACTCCAGATCTAACCCAAATCCAGCACCTAAAGAGTTAATATCTGGCAGAGGTAAGCTGAGTAGATGCACAGCTGTGGTCCAGTCTGACTAACCACTGTCCAAGCCACTCTGGTTGTTAAATATGCTGGGTGTTACTACTGAATCATTATGGTGTTAAAGACACGAGGCACCTGACCAGTTACAGGGGAAAAAAAAAAATCTAGCCCAGTGGTTCTCAAACTTGAGCATGCAGCAGAATCACGGAGAGGGCTTGTTAAGACATGCCCTGCCACCCTTTGAAGTTCTGATTCAGTAGGTCCAGGGTGGGGCCTGGGAATTTGCATTTCTCTCCATTCCCAAGAGATGCTGATGCAGGGACTAAATTGGTCACGAACAGCCCCCTGTTAGAAATGCTCTCTCTCTAGAGAAATGCTTCTCAAACATCAGTGTGCATGAGAATCACAGAGGGAATCATGTGACACAGATTCGAATTCAGGGCCCTGAGGTGGAGCCTGAAGTTCTGCATTTCTGTCAAGCTCCTGGGTGAAGACAAGCTCCTGTGTGTCTACATGTGGCATTGGGCAGCAAGGTCGTAGGGCACTAAAAGTAGTTCACTCTGTCTTTCACAGTTAAAAGTCCTACTTTTAAGTCCTTTATCCTCTATTTACCATTCTCTTCTCATTCTCCTTCTTGTACTTATTCTTTCTTTAACTTTTTTTCACATTCCCTTCACTTGTTCTTCCTTCCTCCCTTTTCCTCTCACTAGCTTTATTCTTTCTTTCCTTTCATTTCTCTTTTTATTTACCATCATCTTTATTTCTTGCTGATTTTTCAAGATTAAAAATTCCCAACCTAGGGGCCAGCAGGTGGTGTGGTGGTTAAGGTGCTGGATATTCCCACATGGATGATCATGGTTCATATCCCGGACCTGGTGGCTTTCACACTCTCTCTGTGTCTCTGTCTCCCTCTCTGTCAAACTTAAATGAATGAACGAATAAAGTCAAGTAAATAATTCCTTAATAATAAATAAATAAAAAACTCCCAACCTACTTTCAGGATTCTAACCCGGGTTAAATTTCTTTTAAAAGTAAAATATAAAACAAAACAAAAAACACAGCCCTGACGTCTCAGGAAGAGACTCCACCCAGACCATCTTGGAGCTTTGTGATTCCAACAGTGACATCAGAAATTAGTCTAGGAAAATACATGTGAATGCATGTCGGGGAAACAAAGAAGGCAGTCAAGGGCAGCAGGTAAGCTGGCATCGCTCTTTTCTAGAAAATACTTGACCAGGAACTTTGTCAAGGACTAGACACTTTACCTACTTACCAACTAGGTGCTCTCTTTGCAAAACATAAAAAAGATGTCAGTTTAAGTGAATAAAGCTGTTTTATGGATTTTATTATTGCTTCATTCTACTTGGGAATAAACAGATTGCTATGAGCCATCGGCTTGTACTTACTCTCCCTGCCCTTGGGCTTAGGCAAGCATCTTAGCAGCAAATTCCATGGAAAAGTCTGCACACCTTAACACTGAAGGGAAGAAGTACTGGCCAGGCCTAGCTCAGCTTCTGGAAACCTAGGGACATGGCAGGAGTTTGTTGGTTTAGTAGTTGTGTATGAGAGTTAGTTCTGTGCTATCTTCTTTCTAAATGCAGTGGAAATTCAGAAAGAGGATAAGGGTAGATGTCTTACTACTACAGACATAAAAGGAATTTACTCTTTACTGTACTGGTAAGATAACATGAAAGCCATGTTTAGAATCAAGCTCACGCTTTGAAGCAGTGCTTGTCTAGTGGGGTCAACGGCACACTCCAGGGAATGTCTATGATTTTTACCAGTCAGGGATGGTACTGACATCTAGTGGGTGGAGGCCAGGGGTACCGCTAAACACTGTGCAGTGCACAGACAACCCCCCAGTGAAGAAGGATTGGCTCAAAACACCAGTAGTGCTGCGGCCGCCAAACACTGCTTAGAAAATATGAGTTTCAGTATGTGTTAACATCCATCTTTCCTTTTGTAATGCAAATGTGAGAAAAAGAGGAGTAGAAATAGATGGGAAGGCCAAAGGTGGCATAGTGGTTACATCACTGGATTTTCATATGCTGACCTCAGTTGAAGTCTCGGACCCAGTGGCTTGAAAATCATACTGGACGTGTGTGCATGTCTACCCAAGATCAGGAAAGGAGAATGGAGAAGGGATTGTGGCATGGCCATTCCCCCTTGGGGGTAATTTCTCATGTTCCCTCTCACTGTCTCTGTCTCTCTCTCCCCCACCCCCTTGCAAGCACACACATCCTACAGCAAAAACCTCTTTAAAAAAGAGAAAGGAAGAAAAAGAGAGAAAGAAAGAAAGAAAGAAAGAAAGAAAGAAAGAAAGAAAGAAAGAAAGAAAGAAAGAAAGAAAGAAAGAAAGAGAAAGAAAGAAAGAGAGAAAGAAAGAAAGAAAGAAAGAAAGAAGAAAGAAAGAGATGAGAATAAGATCTTCAGTGCATAACCATAAATAAAATTCCCAGCAATAGAGGCAGATACATCAAGATTAGGGAGTCACAAACTCAAGACCAACATAGGACAGACAAGTAATATAAATAAAGCAATGTGGGGCTGCAGGCAGCTTGGTGGTTAAGGGCACTGGACTCCCACTTGGCTGACCACGGTTCGAGTCCTGGACCTGACAGCTTGCTTTCTCACTCTCTCTCTCTCTCTTCTCTCTCCCTCTCTGGTCAAATTAAATTAAATAAATCAATAAATAAAGTTAAACAAAATAATTATTCAAATAAATAAATAAAGCAATGCAGGAGGAAAATGCAGAAAATGGACAGACATTAGAAACCCTTTATATGCATTTTACTGCAGGAGTAGTAGGAGACAATTAGCTGTGCACCCACAGAGAAAACGTGAGCTGGCCATTCCACCTCGAGTGCTCGGGACAATAGCAAATGGTGCAGACGAGGGGCAGCCGGGGGAGCTTGCTCCAGAGTGGCCATTACTCTCTCTACCCGACAGATAGGCAACTTGGGACTAAAGGCTCAAAGGCAGATATATGGAGAACCAGAAAGACGGATTTCGCTGTTTGTGTCTCATTACAGAATCTGCCCCTTCTTACTTTTTTCTTGTTCTTCCTACTCCAAAGACTTGAGCAGCACTGGTCATGACATATTTGGTTTTTTCCTGACTTTAAATTCTGAAAAATGACAAATCATCAAGTTCAGAGGTCTATAAACTGCTGCTGCTTTTGGCTTACTCCCCAAGGATGCTTTTTGCATTTTTAATTTTTTACATTTACATTTCTACCTTTTAAAACAAACGTGTCACAAAGACTATATGTGACCTTTGAAGCCTAATATATCACCTGGCAGAAAAAGTTCAATCCCTGATCTAGAGCATAAAAGTGAGGTTTCTTTTTCTTCTAAATAATTTGAACAAAATAACAGGGCATCTACAACTCATAAAATCAAATTTACAAGAGACTTATTATAGGATTAAGGCTTTAATATTGCTCCCAATAACAAAATTATTTTCTCGGAATCCTAAATACAATTTTTTTTTAGTTTGCTAGAGGGCACATGTGTTCACTGAGGGGGACTGGGCTGGAGTGAGAAAGCACCCTCCTTGGGGCAAGGTCATGCCACAATCCCTTGTCCTCCATCTCTCTTCCTTCGGGATACCTGGCGTGCGTGCATACAAGCCCAGTGCAGCATGTTTGTTCAAGTAGCTGGGTCTAGAACTTGAACCATGCAGTCAGCCATGTGAGATCCAGCTGCCTTAACCATCGCACTACCGGTGAGCCTACAAAAATGTCTTTCATCTACTTATCATGATTTTGCTCACTCTTCATTTGATAATTAGGAATGAAGATGGAAAAGGGAGAGGGCTATGTGGAAACAGGTTTTAAAAAAAAAAAAAGGATGAGAATGAGAGACACATTATTGATTCTGCATAGAAAGTCCTCAGTTTGCCAATTCTTGGCTAGTCGCAGATTATCTAACCAGTCATAGCATAAACGTGAAGTTAGATCCCAAGTTTGCCAGAGTTCCAGGTTCTGGATGACATGTTTAATGATGTCACAGAGAAGTTACTCTTCTATTTCAGTTAGGATCCTATAATTAATAAGACAGCTAGTGATCCCACTGAACCAGTAGGTGATTTCTCCAGCAATTCCCAAGTATAAATCATGGTGCAGACTATTAAAGACATGGCAAGTATTTAATTGGCTTCATTGAATATTTTAAAAGTGAAATCGTTTTTTCATTTCAGTTCTTAAAACTGATTTGAAGAACTTAATGAACTGTTTTCTCCATTCAGTAGACCTTTGTAGTTCTATAGCAAGAAGGCACTTTTAAATTCTTGCTCTTCGTACTGTTTCTTGAGGAATGGCACACTAGAAAATTAGCCAAGGGACAAACTGATCAAGAAGGAGTTTCTTCTCCCCTGGTTCTTATTCCTTCCTGACTTCAGTTGGATTCAGGCAAGCTCCCAATATATCCTATCCTGTATCTGATGCTGCAGTTTTGACCTTAGTTGTACCTGGAAAATTCCATGGACATGAGAGCATCCACATCTTTTCTCTTATTCTGGGAAAGAGAACAAAAACACCAAATATGCCAATGGAATGGGTAGAAAAAAATGATGATGGATAGTAGCATCAATTTCTTAAGTGGATATTTTATAAAGTCACTTTGTACCCATTGTTCAATTTAGTCATGTAATTCATCGATGTATATAGGATACAGATAATTCCTTCTTTATAAATAAGAAAATCAGAACCAACCTTAAAGGAGCCAGATTTCATATGACCAGTTATGCAATTCCAATTCTGGCCCCAGTGGCTTGGAAAAAATGCTGGGCATGACCACTCCCCATTGAAAGAGAGGTGTTCTCTCTCTCTCTCTTTCTCTCTCTCTCTCTCTCTCTCTTCTTTCTTTATGTAAAGCACACATTCCCTCGGGCCAAAAATAAATACATAAATTAAAAAAAAATGCTTCTAAAAGAAAAGTTAAGGGACTGCTTCATTTTTTAAAATTATTTATTTTGTTTATTATTATTACTTTTAATTTGACCAGAGAGAGATGGAGGGGAAAAGAGATAGAGGGAAAGTGAGAAAGCAAGCCTCCAGGTCTGGGACTTGAATCATGGTTGGCCATGTGGGAGTCCTGCGTTCAACTGCCACACCACCTGCCAGTCCCATGGCCTGCCTCTTTTAATGGGTGCTGTGGGCATTAGAATCTAGACTTTGTGGCCAGTTCTCCATGCACCAGCAGGTTGACCATGAGAAAATAAATAAGCCTCAGTTTTGTCACCTCAGTTTTGTAAGGATAATAATAGTATGCACTCCATGGAATCTGGCTTTCTTAACCACTAGACCATGGGACCGGACCAGCCTGAATTTAGAATTTTGACATTTTCCCCACATATAGTTATCCATAAAGTCACCAATATGACACAGAACAGATTTTTTTCTTTTCTTTTTTTTTAGAGAGATATTTTTCCTATGGGGTACGTGTGCTATCCAGAGAGACAGAAAGCGAGAAACCACCCCCCACCCCCAGGGTGGGGATGACCACTCTGCTTCTCCTTTATTCTCCTCTCAGGATCTTGGGCATATATGCACATGCACCTGGCATGAGTTTTCAGCTGCTGGATCTGGGACTTGAACCAGTCAACTACATGGGTGTCCAGTGACATAACCATTATGCCATCTGCTGGTCTCCAGACCAGATTTTCAAAAAGGCATTGTTGTGTAACTATGATATAAGAAAGTGGGGTGGGGTTTTTTTGGAGAGGTTTTTGCTATAGGGCTCTCCAGAAAAAAAGAGAGAGACAGAGAGACAGAAAGTGAGAAATC